TTTTCTGATCTGATCTGATCTGATCTGAATCTTTCTGATCTTATCTAAATGCTTCTGATCTGATCTGATCTGAATAAAATAAGATTAAACAATAAGTAATAAGAATAAGACGAAGAGAACAGTTTCTTACATCTACAATTGTTTGACCAGTGCTACCATTGAGATAAACACCAAATCCCCTCTCAGATAGGGTTGTAAACGAATCGAATAATTTTGATTCGGTTCGTGATTCGAATTCGAAAATGTGTATTCGAATTCGAGTAAGTAGAATATGAATACGAATACAAATATGTTTTTTGATTTGATTAGTTTTCGAATACGAATACAAATACTATGATATTCGTTCTTCCTCTATCCCTTATATTTGTTCTTCCTCTTTCCTCTTCTGTAGGTGTGTTTTTGTTAGCACAAGAAGCTTTGTTGTGTCCTCCCTTACAAATGGAGCACTTCATTATTCTACCTTCTCTGCTTAATTGGGAACCACTCCGTGGTGGTTCACTTTCTTCTCTTACCCTTTTCTTCTTTGGCCTGCCAGTCATCTTCTTCGGTAAGGGAGGCAATATCTCTGCATACTCTGTGGTAGGCCATAACAACTCGCCATTAATAGGTTGGAGGGTATATGAATAAGTCCTTTGGTATTTCTCTTTGGAGTAAAAAGTGTGCACATAGTGTTCCAGATCTCTCTTTTATCAAAGATTGCACAAATGGCATGTGCAAAAGGGATTCCAGCGAGATCCCATCGTCTACAGGAACAGGTTATACCATTAAGGTTCACTTTGAATTGTTGCCTTCCTTTTTTTGATTTTAAAATCATCATCCCCATTGAAGTCCACTTGTCAATCTTGGCTCGCTGAAATGTTCCTATTTAGCTTTTTCACAATGATAGGGCCAAAATTTCCTGAAATAGACTGGTTCATAAGTGAACATATACACATGGTATGTTATACACATGGTAGGTTCATAAGTACTATGTACATCACATATTTTAAATCCCTACATAACTCAACATATAGTGCATACATACTCAGTACATAAGTAAACATATTTCCTGAAATAGACTGGTTCATAACTCAACAAATACTCCATATAATCATTATACTAACATATAATCAGATTGGTTCAAAACTCAACAAATACTCCATATAATCATTATACTAACATATAATCAGATTGGTTCATAACTCAACAAATACTCCATATAATCATTATACTAACATATAATCAAATGTGTTTGTAACTCAACAAATATTTCATACATACTCAGTACATAAGTAAACATATTCCATAACTCAATAAATACTCCATTTAATCATTATACTAACATATAATCGGATTGGTCCATAACAAATAGAGACCCATATACCTGACCACCGTTCAACATATTTTCTCTTCTTGGCAATTCTTTTCATGGTAGCCACCCTGATATCCTCAAACATAGGAATCAGTACCTTGCTTCTGCATTGTAGTAGGGTGTTGTTGAAGGCCTCAGATAGGTTGTTATCTACTGTGTCACACTTGACTTCAATTCTGAAAAATGCCTTGCACCATAACTTGAAAGGGTATTTGTGCAAATCCCTTCCAGCCTAAGGGTTTAGCTTTTCTAGTTCACCCAATGTAGCCTCGAGTTGTGGTTCACATGTTGACTTAACACACTTCCAAAATAGGTTCCTCAACACCATTCTTCTGTGTAATTTGCTCCAGTCGGTGTGTATGTGTCTAGCAAAATGTCTGTGCTCAACATCTGGGAGGATATTACCAATGACATTTGATAGACCCTATGTAGATTTCACAAATGATACAACATGTTAAACACGAAATTATTGAATAATATTTAGTGGTCAAAAAGGAAAGACTTAAAAGCATTTACACATATTTTGTTGATCACTAATTATAGTTGATGAAACGGTTAGCAACACAAGAGGGGGGGGGGGGGGGTGAATTGTGTGTGTGGAACCGTGGCAGTTTTTGACCCAGTTCTAGTGCGGGGTATAGGAAATTGCGAAATAGTAAAGTGCACAAGGATTTAACGAGGAAAAATCCCTTGGCTCAAAGGGATTAAAAAACCTCGACCTCCCTCGGAGGAATTTTAACAACTTCACTAAAAAGCCTTTGAATGATTACAAGGGAAACTCTCCTAGTCTACCCTTGAGCCACCCCAACTCTATCCTCTCTAGGAAGAGTTACGCTTCTCTACCTTGCGGGTAGAGAGCCTCTCAGATTTACAACAAAGCTCTCACTCACACAAATAAACTTGAGGAGGCTGCTCTTCACCAATCCTCAAAACCCCATTACAATATAAAGAAGGGAAAGAAGAAACTATATCTAGAACTCCGAGTGAGCAGTTTCAGGTTCCTTGAGCTTCAGTAATTCTTTTATGAATATCTCTCTCAATGTCTATCTCGGTCAAGCACACATCATTTCTCTTTGGCTGCTTCGTTTATATAGGCTGTCTTGGGCAGTCCGTTTAAGCATCCTTCCTTGAATAGTTGATCTTCTAATCTTGGGACTTGCCTCGATATTTTGAATTGCTTTCCTTTCATAATATTTCCCATATCCGAGCTCAATATATAAGGTAGCCGAATTAAAATATCATAATCATATATTCAAGGTAGCATATCAGTCCCGGACTAAGAGAATAAATACAAACAGCTTATCCAAATCACGTGTGATCAATTAATTACCAAATAAGACAAGCTTCAGTCAATTCCCAAAACGGTAGGAATATTATTCTCAACATAAGCAAGCAACGGATTAAAATATGGAATATATTTCAAACAACATTTACTTTTCAAATCCGTATAGCAAGGGAATATTTTACCTACCACAATAAGCATGCAACGGCCCATGCCAGAAAACATCCATACTCAAATTATTCACTTAGTAAGTTAATCAAGGATAACTTTTATGGCAAGGAGATATTTAGCAAAGCATGCAATACGTAAGTACTATGGTCAACCACCAAATATAAATCATGCAATCAAATAAGGATACTTTCCATAAAGTAATAAGCTATACTAATAAGTGGATGTCTAATCAAGTATGGAAAGAGAATAACCACTCAAATAAGCACTCATACAAGCAAATTACGCATATAATGCCAAGAAGGATATTTTTGCTTAAAATAATATTTTTGACAAAGTATAATAACTCATATAAGGAAAGCATATTAATTGAATTTCAAGTAGGTGCAATCAATATTAATTCAAACCATTCCGTGGAACTAGAAATGGTCTTGTATTTGTTCCACCCGTAGGGTTAGTCAACAACACAATAATAATGTCCATCTGGACCTAAGGATCGTTTCGTCCTTTGTTCCTTAAGGAACAGTGAGCGGTTCTGTCCGTAGTTCTACCCGCGTGGTTAATTATCAACAAAACCATATACTCAATAGATTCTTTCCTTTGAGCTCGATCTTCTTAAATGGGCGAGATCAGGACGAGATGTACTATCTTTAATAGCTCGGATCTTCATATATATTTCGGTCCTTTTGCATGGAAGTTATTCAAAAATATTTCCTTATAGATATTAAAAGATATTCTTTTTATTTGATTGAAGGAAATCATTTTTCTTAAGGAAACATTCCTTGTGAGAGGATATGCACCAAAATCCTTTTTGAATTTTGAACAACAACAATTATTTTGGAAACTTGCTTTGTAGAAAGATCTCTTAATTAATGCCTTTGATTTAAATAACTTTCCTTTAAAGAAAAAATCTTTTCTTTGTATGATCATTGATTATTTCCTTGCTGAAAAGGTTCTCTTTAATTTAGCAAGATAGATCCGAAATTAAATGGAGAGAAAAGATATTTTAAGCAAGCCAGATTAATCAATCTTGGATTTACGGTGTAGTTCTCGGACCAGTTCTATGGCTTGTTCCAGAGCACGACTTAAACTCTTTTCCTGCAGTCACTTATGACCAAAAGTAACACTAGTCGTTTGTCATCAACAAAACAATACGTTCCAACAATAGTCCACACATGTGGATTAGTGATTTGCAAATCTGCCTTCAACAAACTAAAAAACCATGACCAAGATGAGTTGTTCTCTATCTCAACAACATCCCAAACGATTGGGTACATTTGACGATTCCCGTCCCTACAAACAGCAGTTAGAAACACCCATCTAATCCTATGACCTTCCTGCACCCTTCCAGAAAATCATGTTTGTTCGGACCAAAACACATATAAATTCATTGAAAAACTGCAGGAGCTTTAGGGGCGACCCTGACAATATGAATAACCACACTAGAATCTAGAATGGACCTCAAGCACTCCTCAACATAATTTCTCAATTTCTTGAATTGGTCTTTAAAATCTATCTGGCTTTTCTTGTGTATATCACGCAAAGCCCATGTGGTCATACTAGTAGACATATGTATTTTTAGTTGAGATTTAACAATTTTCTTCAAGTTGACTCCATCTATGACAGGATTTTCTGCTACCTTATCCTCAAATGTCTCAACTATCCATTTTTTACTCACTATTCTCAACTTAAACTTCGAAATGCATTTATGTTCAGAATTTAGGACTTTCACTTTTGGAAACACTTAAGCCTATCTTCCCAACTAGCATAACAAACATAAAGGCAGGAGAAGGCACATTAAACTATAACTCTTGTAGAATTATCCTTTACAAAACGTAAATCCTTCTCTTTAACCACTGCATATTTGATAACAACATTCTTGAATTGTCTAGAATCTTCAAATAGCATGGCCAAAGCAATATGGGGAGGACCAGAGTCCGGATTGTAGGAAGCATGGGTCATTCCCCCTAAATAGATTTACCATTATCTGCTTCTTCCTCACCAATGTAGCTTGGAGGATTGGATAAATCATAATCTACATTGTCTGTCTCCACACAACTGTTTTCCTTACCATATATGTGTACCCAGTCCTTCATTTGGTTCTCCCATATGTGTATCACTTTCATGTGAGTGAACATGAACTTCATTAAACATCTCTTCCTCTGATGTATCACCCTATGGCTCACCTTGTGCATTACTTTCAGAAGTTGCCTCACCCTCTGCATCACTTTCAGAAGGTGGCTCACCTTGTAGTCTCAGAAGCCGATTCAACCAGTGCCTCTCTCTCATAACCTGCTTCACCCTCTGGATAAGTTGGTGAAGGTGAATCACCCCGTGCTTCCTCTGTATTGACATTTATTTCTTCAACCACTTGAGGTACTACTTCAGTTGGGGCCGGTGAAGGAAAAATTAGTTCAACTTCATCCAAACCATGCTTCACATATATGTCACCTTTTCCACAACTTGAAGCTATATCTATCAAATGAAATGTTGATTCATCATTGTGGAGTTCGTGAAACATGTCCATAGGTTCACTTGGTCTTTTGAAGTATAACCCTGGCCTGTAATATTACCATAGCTTCCAGTTTTTAATTGTGGATAGGATATCAAGTTAGGATCAATGGGAATGGAAATTCAAGACAACAGACATGTTCTGAGAAGTTGGAATGTGGTATATTTATATTTATTTCAAATAGGCATCTTCTTCGAAAATCTTGTAAATCTAATCACATTCAAATACCAGTTGTTATAATGTGGTAGCAGCCCATGATGAGCATGGTACTTCCACGGCTAAAATACGCGTGAACAATAACTTTTTTATTGTTCTAGTGGCAGAGTGATGTAACTCGCGTGTAAAGAAATGTAACTCATGTTGATGAGAAAAATTAACCGCAGGCCAGTCAAGTTGTAAATTATCCAATGCGGAGTATGATGGAGTTTGTTCCAACTGCAAGAGCTAATTAACAAGTCAATATTTTGGCAGCGAAAGACAACATTATTATTCTAGAGGCTGATAACGAGTCAAGGTATATTTATACGCACTATGTTACAGTAACATTAGGAGCAATAATCAGTACATTTTATAATTTTAATCATAGGAGGACTCTTATAACGTATCCCTTAACTTGCGTTATTAATGCCTATTATATGTCCACTTCTCCTCAGCTTTATTCCCTGTCGCTTCAGATAGCCATGCATTCATAGATTGCTTGCCATGTAACCCTATACTGGGTCCGACCTTGTTGGAACCCCGACCAGGCCTGAGACCTGCTGTTTAGGTCGGCCTGAATGTGGGTGATTCTCTCCGGGCCATGATCTCCTTGTCTAGACCCAATGAGCGTTTATTTACTGATCGCGGTTCTTAAGCTACTTTTAGTTTCGGTCGTAATTAACTGGTTGAGTTATGGTTAGACCCCTTACTACCATCAGAGTATAAGAAATAAAAAATTGATTTCAATGTAAACGTTGAAAAAAGAGTCTAATTGCTCAATTACTTTATGTAAATAGTGAATATGTTTTGTTTTTAACATCAGGACCATAAAAATGATTTTAATTTTTTTTATTTCAATAACAAGAGTTTATTTTGTGATGTAACTTGTGTTATGGCAAATGTAGTAATTCGCGTTGATGGAAAGTGTAACTTACGTGTATGCAAAATGTAACTTGTTAAGACAAATCCAAATGTAACTCGCGCATAAGAAGATGTAACTCATGCATAAGAAGACGTAATTCCCGTACATGAAGATGTAAGTCGTGCATAAGAAATGTAACTCACGCACAACTCTCGCATAAAAATATGTAATTCACACATTAGAAGATGTATCTCTTATATATTATCAAATGTAACTCCATGAATTGAAATTAACAAACCCAAAGTTAAAAAAACCAGTATAAACATATGAGAGAGAGAGAGAGAATTACCTAACTAGGAGTAAAAGGTAGTCAACAATCACAAATAAGACTACAATGTTTTAAATTCCCCAGTAGGACTAATTATGTGAGTTTGGACAAATATACCCTTGTACCTTTTGAAATGTTTTAATTCATAATAAAATCGTAAAAATAATAAAAATCATGTAAAAATAGTAAAAAATTAATATTTATAAATTAAAAATTCCAATAAACAGATTTCAATATGTTTAAAAAATAAAATTAATAAAAATAAAAAATTTAAAAATAAAAAACTACTATCGAAGTATAAATAAAAAAAATAAAAAATAGAAAAAAAATAAAAAAAATTAAGAAATTAAAAATAAAACGAAAAAAATACATCGTCTCCTCTGCCCCCCCCCCCCCCCAACACCACCAGCTCTGGTCACCGGAGAAAAAAATGCCAACATGCATTAGTAAATGGCATTTTCTAGGCATTTTCAGAAAAATGGCATTTTTAACAAAATGGGCATTTCTTTACTGATCTGTGGTGGTGTTGCTAGGAGGCGGTAAAGGTGGTGGGAAGGGCATCCATTTTTACGGTTTTTTACTACTTTTTTTAAATCAAATACGTAGTATTTTTATTTTATTGGGAAAAGTACGGAAAAAGTACTTGTGGTTGGGCCCATTTTCAGATAGGGTCATGTGTTTCATTGTTTATCAAAGTGGTTCATGTGTTTGATTTCAGCCACACTTGTCACCGGAAAGTCCACCGGAAAAGTGATTAGTGAAATCATTTTTAAAAAATATTTCACACAGATCTGAAAAATCGAAAGGCGAAGGTGGTTTGGAGGTCATCTTGACGAGGCGCACCTTTCGGTATTTTTCTTTTAGTTTTTTGGGCACTTTTGAAAATCGGAATTACTTTTAACTGTCTTTTTCAGATGTTTTTAACGGCGTGACCCTCTTGTGATAACAGAATTCAAACACATGAACCACTTTGATAAAGAACGAAACACATGACTCTATCTGAAAACAGGCTCAACCACAAGTACCTTTACCGTACTTTTCCCTATTTTATTTTATAAATATTTTATTGATTTTTTCTTACTAACCCCATCCCTTAAAACTTTGCCAAGTTTGATTGGCACGAGGAATAATAAAGTAAAAACTGCGTGGTTAAGGTGTGTGCAGAGGAGAGAGAAACAACAGAGACCACAAAATAATTGATTTAAAGGGAAAGTGACAAATTTTTTTGGGACGTCCCAAAAAGGAATGATGACAAAGGTTTAAGGGACAGAAGGAGTATATTTTTACGCTTTTTTATTCTATTACAATTTGATTATGAATTAAAACATTTCATTATGAATTAATACTCTTAGGGGTATTTAGGGTAGAAAATTAGTGTTTAGTTCTATTTGTGAAGGATTTAGGGCTTTAGTCCTATCTGTGATTTTTAGGCAAGAGTTAGTCCTCTTTAAGGCATATTTTTTTAAAAGAGAGAAAATATATATTATAGAAAATAGTATATGAATATAAAAAATATTATAGAAAAAAGTGTATGAATATAAAAAATATAATACAAAAAAGTGTATGAATATAAAAATATATTATAAAAATAAAAATTGTGTATGAATTTGAAATTCAATATACCTATTTTATTTAAATTAATATTTTTTTATTATGAGTTGATAAAAAATATAAAAAATAGATTGAGTTGTAATTTAAGTTGAAGATAGAGAAAAATAAAATTCCAATTAAATTTGGGAAAAATAATTCAAATACCCCCAAAGTTGAAAGGGTATGAAGTAAACACCCAAACTTGCGCATGTAATAAAAATATCCCGAACTTTATATGAAAGTTATGTTAGCACCACATCCATATGATATTTCTTTCAGAAATGTAAATTTGTGGTGTTAACTAAATAATTTATATACATTTAGCATTTATGTGAATGCAATTGACACTCAAGCTCTTAGCTTCTATTTATGGAATAACTAATAATTTATTAGTCTGTGTGTGTGTTAATTGTATCATCACAAATGCAAATATTTTAAATTGTGTCCTTAACAACATTTGTCAAAGAATGATCATGGATCCATGGATGCTAGTATAATTTTTTTATATAAAATTCGGGATATTTATATTACATGCACAAGTTTCGGGTGTTCACCACACACATCTTGAAAATGGGAGGTATTTGAATTATTTTCCCCATTAAATTTTGAGAATTTTGATATAGAAAGAAAAAGGAATCGAAGAGAAGGAAAACAATTGAAGAAGAAGAAGTAAAGGGAAAAAAGAAAATGATGTTCCAAATTAAAAAGAAAAAGGAGGTAAATATTTCCTCCAAAGCAGAAGAATGTGGACGTTTCAGACAACGAAAAACTGTGAATTTGGGCGAAGGTGATAACAAGCTAGGAGAATACGCGCGGATGAGCGTTGTGTTACTAACACTATGAAGAGTTGCGGCTGAGAGATCCAAGAGAAAATGGATGGGAGTTTTGTGAAATCAGAAGGGATGGTGACAAAGACTGGCCTGGCAGCGGTGTAGCTTCATATATACTTTCATTCCGGAGTCGTTCTGAGTGAAAGTAAAGCTTTGGGACGATGAGAAAGAGCCGGAGATCAGATGTTGAAGAAATTGGAAGAGCTAGGTCGGTTAAGAAGGCCGGAGAACTTAACCCAAAGGTGGCAGAGAAAGCAGCTGCAGCGGAAAGGGCGGCAATGGGGATGCATGAAGGTTCACAATGATCCAAAGCTTTTGAAGGAGAACATGCATGAAGAAGAGAAAAGAGAAAAGCACTGAAAAATGGTGATAAAATTGAGACTAATATAAAGTACTTAAAGAATGATACTTAAAAAAAACCTCACAAACTGAAGATGTGATCTTCTCTTATTATTATGTAGAGCATTGGAGTCCTTGATATACATATGACAATGACCAGTGCGTACAACTAGTAAACAAAGATGGAACTATTGCATGGGCCATGCATGGCATGTTGCCCACGTAACTATGTTGTAATAGCATGAAACATTTCCTATCAAATAATGAAGATGTATACTAGTAATATTTTAATGCTTCATTTAATATCTTAATAAATGGAAGGAAAGGATTGAACCCAAAGGAAGATCGAGAGGCAACGTGAGAGCTAGGAAGGAGAAAATGCAATTTCAGTGCTTATCTAGCTAGCATGTCTTTTTGGCATAATATATATATATAGCTTCATACCTTATCTTGGAATGTCAACTTTGCTTGTGCTATCATGCAATTAGTTTTAATAATTCGATCTGATGAGGGAAAAGCTAGCACGAAAATTGGTGCAAAAGGCTCTAATGTTTAATTTTCTCTTGGTTCTCAATATATTTTTCAAGTTTTTTTATGTTTTCTTGGTTCTCAGAAAAGACATTTGATTTTATTTTAGCATTTCCCCTTTAAGAATATGGGTTTTCTTCCAAAAGCAAAAAAAAAAAACGCTTGTAGATATCAGATATGTATGGTAATTCTTATGTAAGAGCTTGCTTCAACTTATTTTCCTATGTGCTCTTAAGTAAATATAAACACCACACAGGTAAGCAAAGTTGCATGGCTTCAAATTTCACCCATTAGTCTTCTTTTAATAGAATTAAGAGATAATTCCCTAACTAGGAGTAAAAGTTCATAAAATTGCAAAAACAGGACCTTAATGTTCCGTAAGACTAAAATTAAATGAGTAGACAAAAGTACCCTTAATGAACCCTTAATGAAAGTCTGTCTTATTTAGTAATGCTACATACATATAAATAAAATACAAAAAAATTACACAGCTATATAACTGCACCGGATGTGCTGCGGATTGTCACCAATCTCATGTGCCGCCACTGTTGGCGGCCGCCCGCCACCGCCGCCGCCCGCTACCTTCACCGCCGGACGCCGGAGCCATCGCCGGAGCCATCGCCGGAGCCACCTAATCCGCCGCCTCTCTCAGCAAGTCTTTATCTGCCGCCGCCGCCCTCCGGCGAGTCCTCATATGGATCCGCCTAGTCTTCCAATGGCGTCACGCTCTCTGCTTGGACTGCTGAGATCTCATACACCAACACCAAAACTATTCTAGTGAAATATTATTTAATGTCATGTTAAAAGCATAATGCCATTTTGTAAAAAGTACATGACATTAATAGTCATAAATATGACATTATTGCCTAACATTTTCAAGCAATATTGCCATCTTTATGTAATTAGTATGTAAAAAATACATGACATTAATAGTCATAAATATGGCATTATTGCCTAACATATTCAAGCAATATTGTCATCTTCATGTAGTTAATGCCAACTTCATAGATGCAAAATGACATTATTTGTCAAACATGTAATATCATGTAAAGTTGAAAACAACAGTGTTTTCCAAAAATAAACATTATGTGTAGATTTTTCAGATCTACATTCAGTAAATTGAAAACTTTAAAATAAAAAACTAAATTTAATAATAAAAACCAGATTCAATTTCTTTTAAATCACTGGACATTTGTTAAAGTCAGATCTGAAATTTTCATATAATAAATTTTGGAAATCTTTCGAACTCATTTTGAATCTAAAAATTAAACACACGAAACAATAGAAAATAGAAAAATTGTAAGAGAAGAAAACAGAGGAACGAAGATGACGGAGATGAACATGGAGGAGAAGAAGAAGATGGGGGAGAAAAGGATGGAAGAGAAGGAGGAAGATACTTACCAAACAAGACCGGTATATCACCGGAGTTATGACACATGATCGGAGTCACGGTGCAAAAGAGACAAAAAATCAAGGATGGCCGACCGGCAAAGAGATCTGGAGAGACGAGTCGGTCGTCGGAGATGGGGAGTATGGCTTCCACCTTTGAAATCCAAGCTTTCTTAGTCGTAAATACTCAATCAATTGAGAGAAAAAAAAGATAGCAGACAGATGGGTCGGATGGAAGGAAGAGATGGGAGAGGGTGGGTTTGGGACTTTGTGCCTGACAGCTAAGGTTGTGTATGAGTTGTGACGTACAACTTGTGAGGAGCGAATCATTCAATAAGCGTGGGAGGGTAAATCCGGAAAAATAAACGGACAGTCAACTTTAAAACTCCCATTCGAGTAATAAATTAATAAGAAGTCCTATTTTGGAATTTTTTTATTGTTTTAGTCCTATTTAGGACAATAACTTTAGAATTAAAAGGGAGAAAAGAAAATGATTAACGGTGAAAATCCTTCGCACTTGTAAATGCCTGACATAGCCTAAATATAAAAAATAAAATAGTTTAATGTTGTGGATATCATCATCGATCAAGACAATTAAAAAGTGAAGACACTGATCGAGCTTATAACAATGAGAAACATAATAAATGTATATATAGCAGTATTCATGCAAAAGATGAAACATGTTTATATTAGAAATAAGGTTTAATAGATTAGTTATGTTGAGATATTACTAACAAAGAAATTGTTTCGCATAATTTATTTACGTTTTTAGAGGTCATGTGGAATGGAAATTACAACATCCAGATTTTATAAATTCATTTAACTGGTTTTGCTATTATTAATGGTTTGCCTCCGGCTCTGGCTCTATCGCTAATGCAAGATAAGACTTCACTACTCTGAATATGCTAGCTTCTAAAATAATAATGATACACTAAGAGCCCGTTTGGTAATAGCCAAATCGGATGTATTGGCTGATTCTGCTGATTTGTGAAAAATAATAATATAAAATACTTTTTGTTAATAAAATGAAGAAAAAATTATATGAAAAAATAGTTAAAATGACCCTCTACAGTAACTTCAGCCAATACAGCCAGAAAAGTAACACAAACCTTACTTTTTCTTATTATTACACGATTCAGCCCTCTAAAACTAAAAATTATGTGTTCGGTGAAAAAGTTGGCTTATAAGCCTGAAAAGCCAAAAATCATGACTACCAAACGGGCACTAATAATAACATTAAAAAATACTACATGATCATGTTTTGAAAATAAAAACAAACATTTATAATCCTTGGAGTCAACAACAGGAAAGGCTGAAGAGAAAGTATGAGACGCAACTAAAGTCACTCTTTCTTGGGGACTTGGGGTTGTTATTGTACCCTGAACACTATTACTCAATATTTTCCTTCATTGTGACTCTCAATGGTTTGAATCTCCATGAAAGTACTCTTATGCAATGCAACAATATTCCTCCCACTGGTCAAAACAATATTCTATTGAAATGTAAGAACCATTCCTACTAACTCCATGAAAATACTCTAATGCACCAAGAATTCTATTCAATTAACTCTAATTATATTTTTTTATGCAGAAATAATGACAAGACAACAATCAAACTGCCATGAAATCAAACTAACTTATGAACATATACATACTCCGTACTACGTACAACATAGAATAGACAATCTGGTAATAATGGAAAGCAGAGAGCTAGAGGGCCTCAGCTTGAAGAATCTCAAGTTCAGCCCACCAGAGGGGTGAGTCTCTGGGAAAAGCGGCCTGTGGAGAGATATCGCGGACTTTCCTCAACTTCTCAATGACTTCCTTGATCGTTGGCCTCTTCCTCGCATCTTGTTGGATGCAATCCTGAATTACCTCACATACCACGGCCACCTCTTCATCGTTAAACGAATGATTCAATGTTGGGTCCACCATATGGCTAATGCTTTTCTTGTCCTTCAGGTATTCTGCAGCCTATACATATATAACTGATGTTGTTACAGATGGACTCAAAAGAAAATAACATAAACTATGGCAAAAAAAGAAGTAAGAAAAGGCAAGTAATTTACTGGTCACAGACAAAAAAAGCTACATTTACAGCGACAAAAAATCCCATTTCAGTTTTGAAAAATCCCTGCCTAGCCTTGGATGCCTAGGTTTTCAATGTTTTAAGGCAGAGTCTGGTTCCACTTTGATCTCGTCTAACAATTACTAGGCCCAGTCTGCCTCCTAGCAGGCCCCTAGTGCTTTTTCATCATTGCCTGATACAGAGGTGTCAGGTGATCCTGTAATGAGGTGCAGGTCATTTATTTCCACTATAAATGTATTTGCTCTACCGGGAAGGAGTAAACAGGATCTATTTTCGAGTCGGACGCAGCAAATTAGAAGACCATCCCTAGCAAATATGCAGAGACTTACCCAGTTGAGAAGAGGACCTTGCTCTTCAGTGAAAGGTAGTTTTCCAGAAACAATTTCCAATAACACGAGTCCAAAACAGTATATGTTTGTTTCAGGGTCAGCAAGTGGGGGGAGTTCAGAATGGTCTTCGCTATCTCCACATTTCGACTTTGATGCCAGTTCTTCCCAGAAACTCATCTCCACAATCTGTTATAAATAGAACCAGTTCTTTGATTTTCATGAACGGGAAAGCGTTTTCAAGTATTTGTAAGTAGGAAAAAACAACCACTAATACCTTAGCAGCATAATCGTCAGTCAAAAAGATGGTTTTAGAAGTGAGATTTGAATGAGGCACAGGTGGATTTAAATCATGCATGTACTCGATACAATAGGCAGTCCCCATTACAACCCTCATCCTTGTATTCCAGTCGAGATGTTCAACTTCTTTGACTAAAAGCCACAAAATAATAGGTAGAAAAATTAGTCACTTGTAAGAGACCTATCTTGTTTCAGCTCAGTATCTATTAACTACTCCGTAATACTTTTGGTCTAAAAACTATCACTGTTCGCATTGCATTGTTCTCTACTAAATTGGAAAAGTTATACTCCTGTCACAAATTAGGGTTATGTTTGGTCAGAGCACAACCTTTAGTTTTGGCAATGTACAACAACTCTTAAAAGGCATAGAGTCCTACATACATTTTTTGTTCTTTTTGTTATCATATTTAACTTGTTGTTGTATGAACATGACTTATTTTTAAACAAAAAGATGCTTTGATATAGGACTTTTTTTTACAGAGGAGCAATTTGTAGCCCAAACATATTAATTTTGAGCTAAAAGTGATTGGTCTTAAAGTGATTTACATACAGAACTTTGTATCCAGAAAAAGTATTACCATGTAGATGTTCAAAAAGACTTCCATTAGGAGCATACTCAAACACCATCATTCTAGTAAAAGGTTCATCCTCCGCACAATAGCCAATGAGGTTAACAAAGTTTTTGTGGTTGATCCTTGAAAGAGTATCAATCTACATGTGAAAAAAAGTTAGTTTTCCCATTGAAAACAAAATGCCAAAGAAACCAATTTCAAAACGTAAATGAGTGTGTTTCAATTACTTGTTTTCAAGGAATAAGTGCTTTTTACTAGAGAAAAGAAGCCTCTGGCAGGAAACTTCTAAATGTTAACAGCATAAAAACATTTAATGCTAATAAAGAGAGCACAAGATTGTTGTGTTTTAAATAAATCACTTTAAGTGCTTAAATGAGAAAGCACATATGGTAAAGGCCCTTGTACCACAGGCTTCCTAAAGTGTCTCTAACCTTCTTCCTGAAAGCTAGCTCTGCACGTTTGGACCAGTCTTTAAGAGATGTTATGGCAGTTGAAACTACATCGATCTCTACTCCACTTGACAGGTTTCCCTTGTACATAGTGAAAGCAGTATGAATTGTGATAATGTTGCTGAAATCTTCACACGCTGTTTCTAGTTCAGCTCTGTTCAGCTTCGGGACACCTACGTTTTGGATAGGAGAAAAACATGAGTTATACGCACAAATATGAGTCAACGAGTGTCATTGTTTTGTGCTAAAATATGACTCCTTTAATCCTAAAAAGAATAAAAGTAGTTAATATTTCTTTCTTTTAGGAGTGGACAAGTCCTAAATTGATGGAATAAAGCAAAATGGCTCACTAAACTGTCTGCGCTTCTTTGTTATGAAGCAGCAGTCAGTCCATGCAATTTTGGACGGGATTTTCACTATGGGTCATCCAGAAACAGTCTCTCTGTGCTTTAGTACAGGGGTAAGACTGCATACATCCGACCCCCCCCCCCCTTACCCCACCGTAGGTGGGGGAGCCTTTGCGGCACTGGGGTAAATGAAAATGATGAAATGATGAGGAGTGGACAAGTCCTGTTCTCAAGGGAATTATGATAATTCTGTTTCAAAGACTGTTGTGATTTAGCCATATCTGAGGAATTTTCCCTATTTACAATGAAAAAAGTAAATCTCAATTTTGGTCCCCATGACTTAAACAGTTCAACTACAAGCCCCTACAAGTTTTGTGTCCCGAACTCTCTGTCACTTATGATCCTTCTGATCACATTTCGGGTAAAAATAGGATGTAACTTTGCAAGAACTTATGAGTAACTCCTGACAATTTTTACCATAAATATAGTTAGCAGCACCACGGTAGTTAAAAACTGAAACTTGGGCAACAATGTTGATAAGTCTTCAATTTAATGACCAAATTGATAACGAAATGTCATATGATCAAATTGATAGGTTCAAGTGTAACCTGTAACAAATGCTTTTTGCAACTGCCCACTCAATCCAGTCGTCCAAGGGCCAATAGACCTTGCTGCCCTACTTCTACAAGTGCAAATGATTGCTACAGTAACAATGAGGGAAAAAACTCCAAATGAGATTCCAAACATATACTTCCATCTATTTCCAGATGTTGGAGGTTGAGTATTGTTTTGTCGTTGAGCAACACTGGGGTTTGTTGTGATTTGCTGATGTGGCGGCGATAGTGATTGTGCAGAAGGTTTTGCCTTCTTCCCAGGCACAGCCGGAAATGACCCGCTACTTCTGTTGCTTGGCTGAGTAATGAGATTACCCAGTGCTGGCCCAACATTGGCGGGAGAAGCAGCAATGTTACTTGATTCTTCAAGTAACTTGCGCCGTGTGGGATTTGCTAAGTTCTCTAGAGTGTAAATTAATTGTGGTCTGGGTGAACCTGCCAAAGCATAACCAATGAACCCTCAATGAGTGCAAAACAAAAATATTACTATATTTTTCCATATTTCTATGAGAATATATGTGTCTGTTACATTTGGAAGAGAGAGAGAAATTTGAAAACGACAACAACAACAACATCTAAGCCTTAGTCCCAAAAGATAACGGAGTCAGCAAAAAGAAATATACGGAGTATGAAGTAACTACTCACATTAAATTAAACATCCAGAGGGAATGAAAGATGAAGATGTGAAAGAACTTAACAATGAATAATATTTTCATTCATTAATACTACCTCCGTCCCATTTATATTGTCTCTTTACGGTTTACGATGTTTGACCGACGATAAAGCAAACAGATCCCTGTCCGCACTCAAATTATTTTTAGGAAAAAAAATTACATATTCAGAAACTACATTTAAAGCTTTACAAAGTCGCAAAAACCTGAATAAAATTTGATAAATTTTTGATATACTACCTCCGTTCTTAAATAAATGCAACACTTTGACTTTTACACTATTCACATGTTCTACTTTGACTACGTTTTATTTATTAATATAATAATTTTTTTTATGAAAAAATATTGTTAAACTTGTCTCATTGTAAATTTTCATAATCTAATTTTTTTAAATTTTTTTACTAATACAAAATCATATATATTAATGGTCAAAGTTGTGTCTCGACAAGTGTGAAATGTTGACCGTTGCATTTATTTAAGAACGGAGGAAGTATAAAGTAAGAAATTAAGAGTGATTTGTGTTGACCAAGTAAATAGGAACTGGGACAATATAAATGAGACGGAGGGAGTATAAAGTAATTAATTCTAAAAATTAAGATACGGAGGATTTGTTTACACAAATATTTTTGGCATTTGTTTTTTTCTTTCTATTTTAGTGGATTTGATCTTATAAAGACAAAACAATTAATTCTAAAATATCTAAAGCTAAATCACACAAATCGTACTCTCTTCAGAATTCAAACTTTTTACAATTTTCAAAAGTCATGTAATCACATGAAAAACTAGTTCTCTTTCATGAAATTGAACTCTTTTTTGAGTTAAAAAGAACTTTGCAACATGACTCTTTTTATGGAACATGAAAAAAAATCACTGAATAATGAGTTTTTTTTTACTCCAGGGGGCGTCTGGGGGAGGGGGCTGGGGGAGCCTGGAGTAATCTAGGTTGAGACTCACTCCATTGAGTTTCGAACCTGAGACCTCCCGTAAGGGAGAGTGAGTCGGTGACCTGGGCTGGACCGTTTCCTCATCACTGAATAATGAGTAAAAACACCACTTTATTGACTCACATGGAAGCTCATAAGAGAAGCAGCGGGAATTTGTGTTCAAAGGTCCTTCTCCAAGATTGAACCTACAGGGGATAGAATAATTTTTTTCTCAGAATGGCAACGTTATGTGGAAAAAGCGAAGGCATGTAAGTAGAAGTTTTTAGTTACCCACAGCGAGAATAGATTGATGTAACGTAAGATTGCTGATTTCAGGGTTATCAGCAAGAACCTAGCTTTCTTCAACGGGTTCCAACTGACATGCCAAATGCTGTAGTGGCAATAAATAAATAGATTAATTAATTAATTAATTAATTAATTTACTTATTAATTCATTAATTAAATTATTTATTACTCCGTAATAAATAGATAAAGAAATAAAAGTTACCAGTCTTCGCACTTTCTATTAACACAGCCAGTTCCCAAAGCAAAATCAGCAGTGAGATTCTGGTCAAACTGCAATTCATTCAGAAAATTAAGATTCCCAATCTCAGAAGGAATGATTCCTTCAAAGTTATTGTTACAAATCAACCTGGGAAAAAAAGAGAAAAAGAAAAAAAAAAAAAGAGGAAGGGGTTGGAAAATCGGTTCAGAAGCACATATGCTTTTGCTGCATCAATGACACCATAGCATAATGAACTCACAAGCTTCTCAGTAGTTGCAGGCCTCCTATCTGTTCTGGAATTGATCCGCTCAAGTTGTTATCCCTAAGATCCAACACTTCCAGCATTTCAAGTTGCCCAATTTCTTGAGGAATTACACCCGAAAAATGGTTCTCAGGGAGTACACTTCCATGCAATTAGACAAAAAAAAAAAAATAATGCAGACTTTAGCAAAATAACTAAGAGTCCGTTTAGTAAGGTTTATAATTCCTGAAGTGGCTGGTTCTGAAGAAGATCAGGCTGATTTGGTTGAATATTCCTAACTGTCTAAAAATTTATGTATTAAGGTATGTGAACTCAATAAATTATACGTAGTAGAACATAAATTCTTAAAAAGGTAGAAGTATCAGTTACAACCATTTCAGCAGAAAAAGTGACTCCTGAACTACATTTATTAACATTTTAAGCCCATTCGACCACACTGAAATAAGTTGTTTGGTAGCAAAAATGGAAGATAAGGCTAATAAGCCAAAGATGAGTAGATGACGCCTACCAAACATGCTCTAAAGCTATTTTATTCACAATTTCAAATAACATAAGATGTATGCAGTGAGATTCTGACTTATAATTTTCTGTAATATCATTTCAAGTTCTAGAAAATGAGAAATAGCTAAATAGGCATTTTAATTATGAGTGCTTTTGTACTCTGTAGTTTATGGCACAGCCTTTGATAGATAAACAAACAGCAAGCAACTCAAAACCATCTCACTTAAGTGTTCCCCGGCATTTACCCCGCCGACTGAGGTGGTTTCCCGACCGGGTTCAAACAAAAATCTGACTTAACACTCCAATTGATGAATCAACTTTGCATTTCGATGAATTCATAGAGCAATTTATAAGAGAGTAAATTCTTACAGCACTTTCAAGTTACTAAGATTTCCGAGTTCAGGTGCCAATGTTCCTTTGATATCTTGTCCATTAAGGTCCCTACGAACAAATACATCAATATTATAGCAGAAACAATGAAGCTGGGTTTTCGGAGACATGAACCACTAAAAAATTTCTTTCAATTTAATTATAAAAGAGATCCTGAATCTTCTGTCCAGAATCTGATGGAGATGGAGTGGAGTTACCAGGTTTAGAATGAAGTGACTATTTGGTCGCTAAATTCATAGTCTTATCAAACAGTTTTAGGAACAACTAATTTACTTAAGTTCACCTTAATTGATTAATAATGAAAAAAAATATAGGGTTATGGGTACTTTTATTAGTGAAGTTGCTGAAGATAATCTTTTTAACCTATTTTATAAGTATACTTTTCATGACTCGGCAACTTCAACAATTTTAGCTAATAGCAAATGTAGCCAAATTCACCCTTATGGAATGGGCACTAAATTCAGAAGGAATTTTGATGCGGGATTGTTAGTTCGCTATGTTATGAATGTCTAATTTCGACGATCTTGAATACTCTTCACTGAGCAACACATTTTAACCAACAAAGAAAAGTACTACATCCTCACTTATATTGGAGTACCAATATAAGGTCAGGCATTCGAGTGAAGCAGAAAAACATGTAGTAATAAAATAGGAACTTACAGAACTTGCACTTTACCATCCTCGCAATGGATGCCTGACCACATGCACGGGTCACAATTATCCGCATTCCAATCCTCAAGAGCTCCATGTGGATCATATTCCACTCTTGCTCGAAATTCCAACAAAGCCAATCCTGATTATTACACACTACAGTCAACTCCAATATATTTTAAGACCACTACAAAGAGAAAGGATTGAATCTAAAAGTTCATCAAGACTTGTGATTTTATTCTAACAAATCAAACCAATATGATGAGTAACTCAAGATTTTATGTCGATCTGCCATTTTATAATTAACCCATATTGGTGACATGCTCTTCAATAAAGCGTTAAGCTAAAGATGCATCTTTTACCTTCTGACTTATCACAGCAACATCCATGAACATTAGAGACAAGAATCAAAAGGGCAAGATATGAGAACTGGATTCCATGAATTGTCCATCTACTCCCCATTGCTTTACAATCAAAATGCGAGTATTGTTGCGGCAGTGATAGGTTCTGCCAACAGCTCTATATGAAACCGCCAGCTTTTTCCTTTTTATTTCCAAAACGACCCTCCTAACAACAACTATTACTGGGTAACAATGGCCTTTACAGAACAATATATTGAGCTTCTAGATTTATAAAGTTAAAACCATATTGCAAATGAAACGAGAAATATCTGCCCTCTTTACACATTATTAAATTTTTGCCTCTCATTGGTATTATGGATATCAAACTCAGGCTTTAATACCAGGAAATTCTTGTTATTAACGATTTTCCGAAATTCAATTTTGAGTTGAGATTCAGATAGCTACGCAATGATCACAGAATATTGGACTAAACATATTCACAAACAATTAGCGTGCGGGATGAGGGTTACCATGGGCGAGGATGACAAAATGAGAGAATCTTGAAAGTGGGTTTTGAGATTACGTTGGGAGGAGGTGATGGGTAACAATGAGGCAATGCAGTTACGAATTGAACAGAATCTTTTTTTATAACTAGAGTGGGTTTTTAATGCACTTTTCTTATTCCTTGACTGCCCTTTCCAGGATGATCTTAGAGTAGGAAACTCTCTAATTCGACCATCTTGTCTGAAAGAGCCAAACAAATCTCTCTTCTTTGATCTCTCTCACACCCAACAAACTGTCCAAATACAGTTTCAGAGTGCACCAAATGTCCGCTTTAAAATACGGTTTCGACTGTGATGATACTTACAAAACAGTTGAAAGTTTTAAAAAGTCTCATAATATTCGAAAATATCATTTTTGATCTTATTAAAATATATAATGATACTCCATATTTGTTAATTTTATTGGACATCTATTATACTCCATAATTTGACATTGTTGGTCCAAAATAGGACGCTCGTAGGCTTTTAGGAAAGCTACGTAAGGACACTCAAGCAGAAATCAGGAAAGTAATACGAGTAAGGAAGGTAGCTAGAGAGTTTGGTAGCCAGAAATAGCATGTCTGTATTTGAATCACGACTTGCCTTTTATAGGCTGTTTACAAATGGTAACTGCCAAATAATAATGGCTAAATTAATTACATCATAAATACGAAATTAAACACATAATTAAGTCGTGCATTAATTCCCCTGGCTGTTACTGTTCGTGGCAGGCGGGTCGGTCGGGCTCCCCGGGGCGGCAGGCTCCCGCTGGACTTCTGCTAGACTTCCGCTCCTCGACAGGCCTGATTGGTTGGGCCGATCGGAGATCCGAATTGCCGGGTCCACCGGTTGTCCTGTCCGGCCAGATGATGGTCCTCGGCTTGGGCTTGGGTCTTGGCTTGCCGGTCCAAGTTCATGTCTGGGCCGATTACGCATTGGGCCTGGTCCCATAATCCCATCACGAGTCCCCCACTCCCTTAGTCGAGTAGTAGACTCGGCTAAGAGGGAGTAGTCCAAGTCAGCTGCCAATTTAAAAAAGTTCACATACCAAGGAGTAATAATTGTGGATTCTGAAAATCCCACAACTTATGGAAATTTTCCAATTTTAAATAAAGCTCTCAGCTTTAATAGGCTCCAAATTAATTTATTCAACATCCCAGCATTCCAGCAGTCAGCTCTCTCCCAGACTTCAGAATCCAGGTCAGCTTCCGAAAATTCCTGAAATACATTATTATTTTATATTATTTTCGGACTTTACTTTATTTTCCCATTTTTTCCTTTTTTCCTTTTTTTCTTTCTTTTCTTTCCTTTTCTTTTCTTTTCTTTCCTTTCTCTTTCTTTCCTTTTCTTTCCTTTTCCTTTTCTCTTTCCTGGTTTTCCGCGTGCGTCTTCCTCGCGTCGCCCTCCGCCGACCCAGCGCCGCAGCCAGCCCAAGCCTGACAACCACAGGCGGGTTCGAGCTGGGCCTGCTGTCCGTCGCCTGGCGGCTTCCCCGGAGTCCGGCGGGTCTGGTGTCCCTGGTGACCGACGTCACCCCGGAGGTGGACGGCCACCCCTGTTGGCCGGTGCAGCGACCCCTTTAGGCGGTCAGGTACCCGTCGCCCTGTACCCCCGGCTCTTGGGCGCGCCCTGGTGGGTCAGAGCTCCAGTCCGTCGAGGTTCGTGTTGGCCGGCCGCCGCCCGGCGTTCTTCTTTTTCCAGGCGGCAAGGCCGGGGTGGCTGCGGCCGTCCTTCTTCCTTCCACCGGCTGGTGGGTGCTGTCAACCCACATCCTATCTTTCGGCTGGCAGTCCTAGGCCTGCGTGTCGGGTCGGCTACATTGCTTCCACTCGGGCGAGGTGGCGGCTGAGTGGGTTTGCTCGGCGGCCGCGCAAATAGGAGCCCGGTATGCATCCGCCTGTGATGAGCAGGGTATGAGATGTCAAGGGTTCTTCATCCTGCCTCCTGCGTGTGGATCTTCCTGGGTTTGAATAACCTCTAAATTTGTTTGTTATTTACGCAGGTTTTCTCATTTTCGGTCTAAACCATGCGAGGCGTAGAGCGCTCTCTCTATGAAACCAGTGATCAAGCCTCTCCTTCAGCCATGCAGGTTGACGCCGAGCCCCTCCCCAAGTCATCAGGCTTGGAACTACCGGCAATCAGTGAGGGAAAACGTGGGGCGGCCATGAGGCTCGCGCGGGTTAGCCGCGGTGCTCGACCATGTATGCATGCGGAGGAAGCTACCGGGCAGCAGGTTGACGTTCCCCCAGAGACGGTTCCAGCTAGGCGGACTACTACTCCTGAGGCTCAGCAACTGAGCGTCCCAGGTAGAGTGCGGGCACAACACGTGGACGTGTCAGATTCCGACGATGATTCCGGTGCTCGGGGGGATCCGAGTCTTTGGTGGGGTCTTGATAATAGCGGGGTAGTGAACCTCCCCCCTCATATCCAAGACGAGGACCTTGTCATTGCCTACAGCCTGATCGGTGCCAACTGTTCATTGAAAACTCCGGAGGCTACTGAGGTACTGAGTGACCCCCTAGTCCGTTACTTCGGGGTCCATATCCGCTCTCTAGAGTTGGGGATGGCTGTGCCTCTACATCCTTTTCTGGTTCGGTTCCTTCACTTCCTGGGTGTGGCACCGGGCCAACTGGCTCCGGCGGCTCACATGTTCGTTGCAGCTTTTGTGGCGCGATGTGAGGATGTGGGCCTCACCCCCACGATCAGTTTGTTTTTTAGCTGCTTCCAGTGGCGCGCCTCCAGCTTTTTTGCCTCAGTTTCCCAGAGGCCGGTGAGCAAGCTATTTCGGCCAGGTTACCCGGACTCAGGTAGCCGATGGAAGAAGAGGTGGATCTGGGTATCCGACCCCACCCTTCAATCACCTCCGTTTAAGTGGGGTGAGCGGCTCCGGAGGTGTGACCGGGTCGCCCTCTCCCCTGACCTCAAGTCATCCATCGAGATGTTGTCCGCAGGCGGTCCCCGCTCCATCAGCTCATACTTAGGTGATCATTACTCCCTCAGTTTAGGTTTGGCTATTTTGTATTTCACCTTTCCTCATCATCACATTTTTCTTCCGCAGGTGTGCCTGATAGGCCTGAGAAACTTATCGTCGGTGCCGAGTCTGATGACGATGACGAAGAGGCCCAGCCATTCATCGCTCGTGCAATTCCCACAGCCACCAAGGAAAAAGAGCGTGGAGCTCCCCCAAACCGTGTAGCACAGATTCCGAGGAGGGTGAGGGTTACCTTTGGGCCTCAGCCTGTCGCACCAGCGAAGAAGAAGCAGAAGAGGGATATTGTCGACTTACTGGTCGAATTGGATGAGTCTGATGACGAGGAGGTGGAGCCTCATGTAGCCACTGCTCCTGTGCTCCCCCAGGTCGCTGCGGGGAAAGGGCACGGAGCCCCCCGGCCCGAGAGGGGCATGTTTTGGAGGGGGCGACTGTCACCCCGGAATTCCAATCCACCGGGCAGGTGCATGAAGATGCTGGTGAGAGGATGGCTGAGCGGGTTAGCTGCGACACTCAACACACAGTTGCTTACACATTCCCATCTCCGAGTGCCTCGATCATGCACGAGGGCTTCCCGGTTGTGGACTATGCTTCAGCGATCTTGCCGCCGGGTGACCTCGCACGTATGACCTCCCAGGGGTTTCAACCCCTCTTGGAGGGTTCCATTCGGACCCATGTTGATGTGAGTGGCCGATCACATCTCCGGCATACTTTGTTTTACCCCTCGATTCCATCATATTTTGTTTGTTTTGTTTTGCAGGGACTTGCTAAGACCATTGGGGCACTTTGGGCAGCCAACCATTCTCAAGCAAAGCTCCAGCGTGAGGTTGATGGAGTTAGAGCCGCCCTACAGGCTAGGGAGAAAGCCTTCTCCGAGTTACAACTTTTGCATGCAAGAGAGCGTGAAGAAGTGGCCAAGAAGGCGATTCTCGAGTTCAAGGCCTCCGACGAATTCCAGAAAACCATATCTGACAGAGTGGAAGCGAAGGAATCTGACTTAGTAAATAAGTGGCTGAAGACTGACGAGGGGGAGTACTGGCATGCTCGTGAAGTTCTGTACGCCTTTCAGAGTGGCAAGTACCTGACACAGCAGAAATTGTATGATCAGTTGGAGGGTCTCGGCCCTGACTTCTATCCATCTGTGCTAGGTCTTCCTGCCCGCATGAAGAAACCTGAGGCCGCAATAGCCCTCTTGCCCCCAGGAGTCTACCGCCAGGAGGAGGAGTCCGGTAACTCGAACGAATGGTGCTGGTTCTTTCCAAGACCTTCGGAGGACATGGTCCCCCTTTCATCCGGTCAGCAGGAGGGAGCTCAAGAGTCCGGCCAAGACTTGGTTGCCATGTTAGATGAGATTCCCGAGGCCAATGGTGATGGGCATGTCCTGCCATGACTTTGTATTTTGCATTTTCCTTGTCTTCCACTTGTACACGTGTTTTGACTGAATGTTTAATTAATTCACACATTTCTTTTCATATACTTTGCGTTGCGAATACTTAAGCAATTTAATCGGAGATCCGGCTTCTCTAACTTCCCAGGGGGCGATTAGGCTGGCGTGGCTAAGCCTATCCACGCCCCTCCTGGTCAGATAGAAGTGATCTGTTCGCTGTTGATATGGAATCAACAAGTATGCGACTTGTTCGGCCAGCAAGGTCGGACATTGAACTTACAAGGAGGACACTTAGGTCGGCACCCCGACGTTCGTGACCCGGGGGTCAGTCCTACTATCGCCTTGACCCGTCCAGTTCGCCCGGACTTGGGGAATAATCTGGTTACTCCCGCGGGGTTAGCCAAACAACAGGGGCGGACCCTGCATGATCCACCAGAACGGACCCGCACCGCCAACTCGGAGATGGCGAGAGTGCGAGCTGCTTGGCCAGCGATGTCGGGTTGCGAGCACTCAAAGGGGGGACCTAGAGGTCGGCACCTTGGGCGCTCCCGACCCGGGGATCGGCCCTACTATCGCCTCAACCGTCGCGGTTAGCTCTTTACTTTAGAAAATTGCTTGGATTCTTGAAAATCGATGGGCCATTTCCAGTTCAAGAGCCTGACCGAGGTCGGCCAAACACCGAGGGGGGGCATAGTAGCTTTTTTTTTTTTTCTTTTTTGCCGCCGCCCTTAATTGCTAAGTGAGGTCGGACCTCTTTTGAATGCAAAATATCGCTAGTAAAGTATATTGAATTCATAATGTGGGCGGACCACATGAAGAATTACAAATTGTAATCCTGTGCCCAGAGCACATAAAGAAAAGGTGACACTTCAGTTCTCTACTGATAAAACTTCATCAGATGCTCAGCGTTCCAGACACGGTCTACCAGCCGGCCTGTTG